ACGTTGAAATTAACTCGAATGATCACAGAGCTGTAGTGAAATCTGGGTAGTTACAACTCCCCCTTTTTTTACATCCCTCTGTGGCCTGTTTTCCCATACACCCACATGTCCCACATCCTCATGTGGCTACTACGTTGACCCTTGAATTAACGCCGACTCGAGAAGTCACTATAGAGGGAGAGTGCCTCTGCAAAGCCGGAAGTCCATTTTTTTCATGAATTTTTTTTTCACGTGGTTTGAGAAATCCACGAGTCGGCTCTTTTTGAAATTAATGAAAATTTTCTCGGTTCTTTCAATGAACCTATACCTATACCTATGAGCGGGAAAAATAGCCTCGAATTGAAGAAAAAACGTCTATTTTATTCCCATAGAACACGAGTTACACAAAAATTTATAAAATTAATCTAGCGATCGACCAATGATCGATAGACTAATTGTCATTCCCAAGAATTGATTTTTTTTTTAAATGAGCATGACCCCCACCCCCTGATCGTCAAAAAATAAAAATTCCAAATAATCGATAAAAAATTATTTATTAGCCCAAATGAAATACATAACTAATGGCAAAAGTCCCGGCGACAATTCCTACAAACATGACGAATGCCCAGAAGTACACGCAGCAGCTGTAGATAACCTTCTGTACATCGAGATTTTCATCATCATCCTCACGACTCCTCTGCCCACCGAACATCACTATTCTATCATCAATAACAACTCTTCTCATCTCCACACCCTCACTCCCACCGTCACCTTCCACTTCATCAATTTCCCTGTCTTTTTATGCTCCTCCTTCTTGTTGAAGAAAAAACCACAAACATCGAGATATTCTACAACCGAGGTAATTCCTGGGGTAACTGGAAACAATAACGCGATATCTTGAGCGATAAAAATTTATTCCACTAGTAAATTTTCAAGGAGACAATCGTGAAAATGTATCGTAAACTCACTTGGGGCTGTTTTTTTTGGCCGATGGAGTTTATACAAGCGGAGGTTGTGAGGAGATTGGTGGTTACGTGCGAAGAAATCGTTACGAGATTGTTTTTTTTTTCCAGTTGATCAAAAAAGTTGAGAATTGTTGAAGCTTCGAAAAATAAAATGAAAACTCTGATCATGAATCCATGTTGTGCCATAAATACTGGAGATATTCGGAATGTAAGAAATGGGGTCGAAAGTGGCCCCATTTGAAAGTCACGAGGCGAAATTTGAGGCGAAAAAATCGTTTTTTGGGCCCTTTTTTGCCCCAGGATTTTCCGAACTATTTGAAAAATAAGATCGTTTTTTTTCCAGCGGAAAATTCTCCGTCTGTCTGACGACCATTTTCCCACTCATGACAATGATTCAATTTCCTCGGGGATGAGTGGTAAAACCAAAGAGAATCAATTTTCCAGGTCTCTGAATTCACGAGTCATTTTCCAATTGCATTTTCCCCTTTTCAACGGTTTTTCCGAGATTTTCTTTTATCATCGTCCCAGTGGATTTTGTTCAGGCGTAACGTACGGTGCTTTCTGGACGACAAATGGAGAAAAAATGCCGTTCAGGGAGATTAATCCTTGACAGAGGGAAACTATCAACAATTTTCTAATTAGAATGTTCCGATTTTCCTTTGAATATTTTTTTGAGACTTGCAACTTTTGACGTAACACCCGGGGATCGGGACTTTGATTTTCGTCTGATGTTATTGTGTGTGTAAATAACTTTCGATGAGAGGCGGAGGGCAAATACTGTTGTGAGTTTTCTGGGATTTCTTTCCATTTTCCATTTTCCATCATTTTCCGATCTACCCAATTCGTTGACTTCGGCACCCTTAACCCGCGAAATTTAAAAACTTCACTCTGTAGAACTGCAAAAAACTGAACCGAACTTTGTTTTTCCCTTGAAAAGTCAGAGGAGATTATTAAGGAATTAATGAGCAGTGTGTGGCGGGCACTAATGGTACCTCTCTGGTTCCGGCATTCAGGATGCCATTGATTTTTTGTTCAACAATTTATTACTCCCTCTTGAGGAAGGGAATTAACGTTCATCCACCTACTCCTATCACGCAACTTTTTCCCACTTATTTTAGTGATTTATTTGTAGTTATTTCGTCCCGTCGTCTTTATGAAGTCAAACATAAAAATTGAAGGAACCCAATAGCAATTGATCATTAGAGATGATCAACAATATTTTTTTCAGACAGAAAAGAAATTGGGAAATTCTCTTGTCTCTCGAAACACTAAAAAGGGCGCGCAATCGACGAGACAAAATAAAGGGGGAAATGTCAGTATATTCTTTGAAGCTCGTTATTGGAATTCTCGGTAGCAAATCGAATCCCCTCGGTTGCATGAGTTTCGAGGTCACCGCCTTGATTTGGGTCATAAGGAGCTTAAGGAGCTTCCTGTCTATCTCGTCTTTTGAAATCTTTGAAATCGAAAATATCAATGGTGACTTTGAGGATCGTTAACCAGCCCATTAGCTAGTCAGGGACATTTTCGATTCGTTTTTTATATTAAAAAAAATGATTGAAAAATGATAAATTTAAAATGCTCAGATGACCTTGAATGACGTCACACCTCTGATGCGTCAACGCCATCTCTCGCCGGATTTGCGTCTTGATAAATTAAATCAGCGCAAACAAGAGAAATGAAATGTTTGCTGCATGAATAATAAAAATTTTTAAACAATGTCATAAATAAATGAACAAAAGAATTGATCACCCCCGATGATTAACCTCACTTATCTGAACCTCCTCCAGCCCCTCCAATTGCGCCAGAATGGCTTGGCGCAATATTTGAATTTCAGAGCGGACCGGGAAATAATGATGCACTACTATATGAAAAATTGAGGTGTACGATTTGGGGCAGAATGGAGAGAGCAAGGGGAATCGATCTTGCCATGTGGAAGTGAAGACAATCACCAGATTCCACCAGAACTAAAAAAAAATTGTTTAAGAGGGAATGTTTTACTTATTGAGGTCGCGTACTGAAGCCATCGATGGGTTCAAGGCTTCCTCGTTATGCAGACGATACTCATCAGTGCAAAATGATAATGGCGAGGAAAAATGGGAGATAAGAGGGAACAGTGGATGGAGTTCACCTTCTACGGGGGTAATTAATCGTGCGAGTGATTAAACGGTACTAATTAAAATTTAACGAGAATTAATTGATACCCCATGTGGGCTTGATGAGGGCATCCTGAGGGGAGATGGAGTAATGTTAGACGTTTGCTACACCTGGGGCAGCTCATCTGAGTTTTAATTAGTTTATCGTCATTTTTGCTGACACTTTTCTCTTCAATTTTCAAGTTTTTCCATTTTTTTGGGTTTATAATTAAAAAAAGACAATCCACTTCGCCCCAGTGGTTTCGAAAAACATCCTGAATCAATTTTTATACATCATAACTCGGGTTCTATGGTTGAAAAATGGATTCTTTTTTTTTTAAATCCTGTGTGAAATTTTTCGATCTATCCATTGGGATAATCAACACTCCAATGGCTATTGACAAGTCATCGAGCCATAAAATTCCAATAACAAAAGCCAGGGAAAAATACGGGAGGTGGTTAATGCGTTATTTTGGGAATACCTGGACAAAATGGATTTATGGCATTAAAGGCTGTTTTTATCATAATTACTGTTCCGGTATTTCGTGACCAAGGGAATTCAGGCGATTAATTATCAATTTCATTTGACAGGTGTTGCTGAATAAATGATTGAATTTTTGATTTCCCTTTTGTGACGTTGGTTGCGCCCCCAATCCGAAAATTCAAGGAGGGGGAAGGGGGAGGGGGAGTGAGAAAACAGGAGAAAGTTTTTTTGTCCTCCAATTTTTTTTCCTCTAAATTAAATTCATGAAGTATTTAACGTAACATTTTCAAGGTAATTGGGTTTTTGTAGGGCAAGTACACACGTGTGTTATTAAAATAGAGGAGCATCCCCCGAGGTTTCACAGAAAGACGAGAAAATTACAAGGGAAAAAAGAGACATCTTGAGTCACGGAGAAAAATAAACAATGCGCCCCCATGTATTTCATTATTTTCATCTTGCGACGGAGTCACCCCATGGGGTTGGAAATGACCCCTTCAGAGGGGCTGGGAAGTTTTACGGAGAAATTAAAACAAAGACGATTCATTTTGGTGGGTTATTATTTACATTGATTTTAGGAGGACAGCCTATTATTGGAGTCATCTAAATCATTATGAATAACTCCTCAATCGTTGAAGTTGCAATGCAGTAATAAATTAGTAATAAACCCAGTCAGACGTGAGACTTCAGACATCGAATGATAAATCAATCAATCATCAGAATGCAGTTGATGATTATTCTAATCAACCTGAATTCCAGCCAATATAAATGATACATTCGCGGTATGTATCAAACTTGGCCTAAAACCAATTACTACCCCCCTAACATCGACACAAGACGCAGATACTATATCGAATCTCCACAATTAATTCGAGTAACCCACATGCGACTGAGGGGTTTTGCATTCAATGACGCGACGGAAACGCATATTCCAGACTCTCTCTCTGTGCGGCTTCGACTAATGGTCGATAATGGAACCGCACCGAGGGGACATTGTAACAGAATTATCGAGGAAGACAGTGGGAGTGTGTTATTCAAAGAAAATTAGCCCTTGAAAAAACCCAAAAAATGAAAAAAGAAAAAAAATTGACAAATTTTTGAATAAATGAGAAATCCTCAGATATGATTTTCAAATCCGAATGATCTCTTTATTCCTCTCTTTCCTAGAATTTTCCTCCCATTGACTGGTAAGATAAACTTTCCTACAGACGAAAGTTCAATGCGACATACCGAGCACAAAGAAGAAGCCATCCGGCATTTTCCATAATTGGCTGAGAAATGCCAGATATTTTCACAGTATTTCCCTTTGACTACTTTTTTCCAAGTCGATTATTCGATTTTATCATTCACAGGTTGACGACTCACACGATGACGGAAAACGACGAGGGGATGGAAATATTGATGGAGTGAATTTTCTCCCGTGGATTAAAGTCGAGAGGAGGAATGGGCCTTGGGGCCTTTGACGTAATACTCGTCCTTGTTACCACTTCGGGCCTTCTTCTCAATGCCTATGTGCTGCTTGTTGCACTTGGCCTCAATAAACAAGTAAATAAACAATTTCTTTTTATATTTTTTATTATTATATAATATATATGTTGAGGTCTCAATCGATAGATCGGCAAGTTGCAAAGAAAATGCTCAATCAATTCTCATCAATCGCTCATGATCTATGTATATAGACGATTATTTTATTTTGCGCGCCATTTGAGAACTAACGGGGCAAAATGGATTGTATTTCGTAAAATTTGATAGAAAAAATGGTTCATTCATCGATTGGGGCTATTTTTAACTGTTATATTTTCTCCTGAATGTTGTTTTTAAGGTTGAGCTCGTTAATGTCAATCAAAAATAATAGTTTCACGTTTCACGTGTCAATACGATTTTCACTCTAGACACAGCAGCAACAGACAGCCAATACCGTACTTCTGTTAATACACCTTGGAATTGTGGAATCAGCTGTTTGCCTTGCGATATTGGTGTTCAGTAGTGGTGGATGGCCATTGGCAGGACCCTGGTGTACTTTATATGGGTTCATCTTCAGTGTCCTACACCCAGTCGGACTTTGGACTGTCACTGGTCTCAATTGTGACAGGTGAAAAGTTATAATCATCATTACCCCCTTTCAGACCCCCGAGAGATACAGGCTCGGAAATGGGCCGTTTTTTCTTTTAAATTCGAGTGTATTTTTCTCAATCTATCGAATGGGCCATCTATCTATGTCCATCCCTGTATTCTTCTTCGAGGAATCTATGAAAAAATTGAAAAAAAATCATTTCAAATGATTTTTTACGGTCCTCAGGTACTACGCGATATCAGCTCCTCTCCACTATACAGCGGTGGTGTCGAGAAAACGAGTGATCCTCGGCCTAATAACATCCTGGATTTTTCCTCTCCTCCTCTGCCTCCCCCCACTATTCAGCATTGTCCCACCCTACAGATACAATCCTGATTTTGGATGCTGTGTCCCGGAATTCGCCAACTCCTGGGGCACCGTTGGCATCATCTATGCGACAATTTACATTTTACTCGGCCTAATGCTACCAGTCTTCCTCGTGACACTCTGCAATCTCCGGGTACTCGGAATCGCAAGGTATCACAGACACAGAATAGCCAGTGCCATTTATGAAGTGACTTTGAGCGCTCAAGTCACGATAACACACCAGAGGAATCCCTTCTATGTGCCAACAATAACAGCACCCAGTGCTGGGGGACCACCGAGATTTCATAGCGCTGCCAGCACTGTAAGTTCACTGTCATTTATTTATTTTTTATTTTTTTATCATTTTTTTTCAGGAATCGGTAGGGCTACGAAGCGGAAATAAACTGTCCAATGTTTCAGGTGATGCAACTTGTTGTTCCTCTTTACCTCCTCTACTTCCCGTACTGTGGATTAATCTTGTGGGAGGCGTGCAGTGGTGCAGCTGTACAAAATCGCCCAAATATACACATGTGGATAGCGTCCTTGGCCTCACTACTGTTAGCCCTCTCACCTCTGATTAATGGAATTCTCTATGGAGTTAAGTCACGAACACTTAGGAGATCCTTTCAGAATTACCGGAGGAAAAAAGTCACAAAGTCGGAGCTTCAACAGGTGAGTGGAGAAGATGGACATTTTCTTGTGGAATTGGAGAAGAAGAAGAAGAAGAAAAAGTTAATGTGGATATTGGATTAAAATTAAAGAAATTTCAGCTAAAAGTTAATTTGATCCCCTTCACGTTCACAAGATATTCATCAAAATTTGAGGCATGAATGGAGTGAATTTATCACTTTAAATCCCTCAATTTATTTATCCCTCAAGTCCAAGGGGTAAATGCGAAGGGGGTTGGTAATTGTTGGATTGCAGGAGATACAGGCGAGGACACCAAGTGCAGCTGGCTCTAGACGAGCATCGGGGAGTGGTCCCGTATCATTATTTCCATTTCCACCCACTCAGCGACGTCTCAGTGAGGCACTACTTTATTTAGGTACTAATCCAAGGGGTCAGGGCTTTGACAGTGAAAATATCAGGGGTTTCAGCAAAAGTAGAATGCAATTTGCTTCATGTAATACACTACAAGTACCTACGTCTGAATCAGGTATGTTGTGCCAGAGAAATAATTTTTTTTTTGTTTCGAAATGGCCGACAAAAGTGGTGGAGTTCTGATATTAAAAAAAAAAAAAAAGTTACAATCTATTTAGTAGTTAAAGAAAAAATTCTTAATCAATTTTCCATGCAGGGAATTCTATTGAATACCTAGAGAAATTTTCGATCAAATTAAAAAAAGACGACCCATTTCGCTCCAGCGGTTTCCGGAAAAACCCCAAATAAATCTTGATAGATCATCTATCGATCGCTAGATCGCTTTCACATGTTCCACTGTAACTCGGGTTCTATTCAGCCAAAATGAATAGTTTTTTTTTTAATTGCATGGGAAATATTCCGATCTATTTTTCTTAAAGCTGATACCGGAAGTAAACCCGTACGCACAAGCGCAAGTGCAGCAAATCTGGTGGATCAGGCGTATCGTCGAGATACCACAAGTGTGACGCAATATGATACATACCCAAATTCATCAAAACGCAGTCCCCGTATTCTCATAACACGTACATACAGCAACGAGAGCCCGGAGGGTGGGAGTCCCCTTCTCAAACGTAACCGCCCAACTACAAACTCATCTACCACATCAAACGACAGTGAGTTCCGTCAATTACTCGCGTTATAAATAAATTCATGGAATTTTTAGTAATGATAATTTAGTGATGACGCAAGAAAAGAAAATTTTCAACGAATGACCCGCTATATTTCTTTCCCCACTATTTAAGTAAAAAAACCTCAAAACCTTTTTTTTATTTTTTATTTTGAAAAATAAATTCACTTTGAGGCAAAGCGGGTCATTTTTGATAAAAAAAAATAATAATAATTTGAATTGAAACATAGCAAAAAGACGGAGGAATACGAGTGCAGGCAGTGACAGTAGCACCGGTAGCAGTGATTACAGCATTTGGACAACGAAAATATCGCCAAAAGGTAATGTCGTAAATTTTAAAAACTCGGTGGACAATTGGCCAGTGGGAAGGCGCTTCACACGTGTGAAAACACTAGAGGAGGGGGCGACAATGTTCGCGGGTATACGAAGGAGCAACAATAGCGAGAGCAGTGATACAACTGACACAACAGCCACAACTACAACATCGACACTACCGTCCAGGACGACTGTTCCCGCGGTGAGTTGATGTTTTTGTATTAAAATTTAAAAATGCTCATGAAATATATGAACACTGAACCACTCCTCAATCGCAATCATCAACATTGAAAATGGCATTTCGCCTGTTTTTTCTTTCAGACAGAAGAGACGAAGCCGATGGAGGAGGCCACCAGGGAAAAGCTGAAGGAGGGAGAGAGCGAGAGTGAGTCACCATGGTCGAGTGGAGATGAGGAGAATGGAAAATTGAATGAGTATAATGGTGGAAAGATTATTCACGATGGTAATAGCACGGAGGGTGAAATTGTCAAGGACATTGATTGCGGGGAGACCAGAAAGTACAAGAGGCGGAGGAGGGAGGAGGGGGTGGGCGACGAGCGGAAGGGTGGACTGCAATTGAGGCCTCTACTCACACCCTCTTCTTAGGCAAATAAACATTATTCTTATATACTCCTTATCGATCGTAACATTTATTTTTCCTGATTTCTAACATTTTTTAACAGCATAACCACTCATTCTGGGCCACTCTTCGATAAAATACACCGCGATCCATTTTGCACCATAAAATTAGATTCACAGGGGAAAAAAGTGTTGAAAATTAAATTGGAATTTTTTCATGGGGAAGTTTTCAATTTGATAAATGGGTCACCCCCCACCCCTCTGGAGCTAGAAAAAAAAATGTTTTCAATTTTTTTTTCCTTCTTTAAAATTGCCATGAGGAAGATCATTTTGAGAGTCCATAGACGTAAATTGACCCGCACATATCCCAGAAATTATATTTTTGTACTGAATCTCAGGAAACCGAGTGAAAAACAATCAACAAAAATGTAATAAGAAATAATGGTGAATGATAAGAATGATGAAAAGCCTCGGAATCACAGAAAAACAATTTTTATCCATCGATTTTTTTCTTCTTTTCGTGGTAATGCAGTATATATCTCACGTATATCAGAGTGATAAAGTGTTTTATGTGCGTGAAAATTGAGTTGAATATGGGAGCGACGGATATGGAGTATCTTCAGGCGTTTTAGCCGAATGACTGTGAGCCTCCTCCGCTCTTTGCACACGTAGGGAACACGTGTTTTATGCCAGTGAATCAATCAAATGAAACAGGCCCTGCGGTGAAATTGCTTTTGAAAAAATTCGAGTTTTGGGGATTTTTCAATGACATTGTTGGATATCACTGACGATTCGGTCTGGTTCCATGATCCATCAAAAGAACGTGAATTATTCTCAAGTTCATTTCACAGCAAAGGCCCTCCCACTCCCAAGTCCCAATAGCAAAAGAAATTATTATTGTTGTTGTTGTTGTTGTTGTTGTTGATAATTAAACTAAAATCATTGGGAGATTAAAAAAATATTTCTCGCTGGCTGAGAAAAGCATTCATGTGTCTGTGTACTTGACAGTTGTAAAAAAAAATAACAACAAGATAAATTATTGCGAAGATAAACAAATGTTTAGTCTCTTCCGTTGGTGTTGAAAAAAAAAATATATGTTTGAGAATAAAGAAAATCGAGACTGTAACGAGTGGATTTTTCTCCCCTCAATTTATTCCTTATTCCCTTCTTTTTTATTGTATTCATTTTATCGTTCCACACTCTACTCCTCACATCGTTCATTACTCTTTCTTGCTTTCACGAGTCGACTTCCTCCTCGTCAAATCACTCGACTCATGAGTCGATTATCAAAGCCTCCTCTCCCCAAGCTGTCTCAACATTTGCGAAATGATAAGGAACTATTCTTCGTTGATTTCAGTAATAAGAGAAAAATATCTCTCATTCTAGAATCTTCAATAAAAAACAACTGCCAGAAAAGTGAAAAATAACATATGAAAATTGCTCAACTTTCAGAATTTTCTTTCTGCTTTTACATCACGATTTTTGTTCAAATTCTAAATATCGTCGAAAAATGAATTGCTTATAAATTATTTATGGCAAAAGTTGTAGTCTTCTCAATGGGGTATTTTAGAAACTCGAAATTGAAATTTTAAGAGGATTTTCTAAAATTTATTTTGAATCTCTTGAGGGGGCGGTACCTTAAAAATTCCGTAACGGTTACCCTAATGGGGGGATGCAAGTGTATGGGTATGAATGAGAGAATTAGTTTGGGAGAAAATACAACATCGAAGTGAAAAGAGGAATGACGGGGAGAGCTGAAATTTTAAGAGGATTTTTTTTATTTATTTCGAGTATTTTGAGGGGTGGCATCTAAAAAATTCCGGAACTGATGGCCTACCGGAGATGCAAACGTGTTAATTTGACAATGAGAGAAAATATAAATCAAAGGGAAAAGAGGAACGACGGGTGAAGAAAACCCAGATTAAGAAAAAAAAAAAAAAAAGGTTCCAACTGTTGGGTCTGAGGGTGCAATAAAACTGGGTGCAGATGGTCGAGTTGAGGAAAGTAATAAAAGAGGGACACCTCTTGGGTTTTGGGCAGCGTTGTTCGACATGAGTTGCACATGTGTACTTGAAAAATGTTAGAGGAGAGTGATATTTGAGTGAATAAAGGGAAATGCGAGAGAGGGAGAGTATGAATGTAAGAGAGAGAAAACCGGTAGGGCCGAGGAAATTTGGCAGGTATGCAAAGGTGCAAGAGGGCAGTCGCCAAGGAGTAGTTGAAGTGTGAAATACGCAGTTGCGAAGAGAAAATTGCAATACAGTATTAAATACAGAGTTTATCCGACAATAGTGATCTTTAATTGTTCTTGTACGAGTAAAAGAAACGCAACTTTTAGGCATGAGGTGAACGTAGCAGCACAAGCATTTATTTCTTTAAAATGATAGTTCTCCAATCGAGTCATTCTCAGCCGAATCTAATTAGGTTTCAATTATGACAATCATGTTACTCTAGAGGATAACAATGTTGCACATGAGCTTCTCCAATGATTATTAATTTTTCCTCAATTTATTATTTTCCAGAGGAAAGAATTTCCATCTAGATTTTTCGATGTTGATAATTATTGAGGGAGTTCAGTATAGTAGATCTCGGAAATTTTTGGAAAAAAAAATTTGAAATTCTGGACAAAGAGGTCAACAAGTTCATGAATTAATCTTTAGCGACGATGGTGTCCTTGACTTGACTTCCGAGGCCTAAAGAATATCATTAAGTACGAGAACATTAGTTGTGCACGTGAGATTCGGCACCGAGTGCGATGAACGCTGAAAGCACGTGACCATCCCATTCTCCCGCATTTTTATTCATTTTTATCACATTTAATTCCCCTCTCCTTTCCACACTGGTGGGGCTATTGGGAGATTGGACTAAAAGGATGGTTACGCTTGCTTTGGGGTTCAGAAGAGCCGAAAATTCAAGCACGTGGGGGACAGACGCGGAGCATCGGACCCCGCAGTCTGCCTCTGGTGCACCGTGCGACACCGTCTCCTGAGATTCATCTCACTTTTTTTTCCCCTCTCTTTCCAGTGAAATTGGGACATGACCGGACACGAGAACGCCGATTTTACCGCATTGCCCAGTGATGGAACAAGGTTAGAGTTTTTAATTTGCTAATTATTTTTGCGAGTGAAAGTGGAGTTGGGCCTTGACGTGATGTAAGAGGTTTTGCGGGCTTTTGAGATTTTCGAACAATTTCATCTTTTAGAAATCTTGAATTTTTGCAAGAAATAATTTTTTTACCAATTAAAAAAGGAGTTGAATTTGAAAGAAAGTGATTTTTGTAAAAATTTCCATTACTAAGGTCTACTTTTTTGGTTTTTTAATAAATTTGCGTGGAAAAATGGGTCATTTCTTTATTTATTTTTTCTCGTAAATTTGTTTCAAGTTCTCCCCTAGCCCAGCGCCGCAAGAGCTCTGTTTTTCAATAATATTTTTTGCCGCAAAGAGTTTAATGAGCGAGTAGTTAGTATTTACACAGGCGTTTTAATGACAAAAGTTGGTGGGAACAGGTGATACAGGGCATCAGGGAGTATTAAAAGCTTATCCACCTCCGCTCGCTGGTAAACATTGAGTTCTACTTGTTCGAAACTCATAACTGTAATTCGCACTCATCAAATGAGCTTCAATTTTTTCTCATTAAAACTAAGAAGAGAAGGCTGACTGAGAAAAAACACTCTCCTCACGACTGAGATTAACCCTCTTCGCCCGCACTAGAGGTCAAAAGCTATCCACTCCGAGACCACCCAATGGACTTTGTCTTTGTTTATATATATATATTTTTTGGAACACTGTAGCCCAATTTCCTGGTCCGCATGTGCAAAAATCCACAGAGAAAAAAAGTGGATTAGCTTTAGAATCAAATTTCTAGATTTTCGAATATCCTATTCTTACGCTTTATCCTTGGTGGGATCATAAAAACTAACGAATTTAGGGATTGTCTTTACGAACAAAAACTCTCTAAAACCAATGCTGAATTTTTCTTAATTTTAGAAAAATTTCAGATTGAACTAAAAAATTGCGGCCGAGGTATTTAAACGGCATAAGTGCCCCCCTCCCATACATAGGGTGTCTAAAACAAACAAATATTTTGCGACCGCGAAACCACCCCGAAAAGTCAATTTCAGCGACCGGGACTCAAAATTTAATATTTCACTAGAAATTTGGGTTTTACATTTTCTTCTCGCGGGAAATGAAGAAATCGAGGGCGCGTGCCCGGATCGATACCAGGATAATCAGCTGGCTCTGGTAGTTGACTGAGATAACGTCAGCCCCGAGTATCATTCTCAAAAAACTCCAGAAATTAATGGAATGAATTAATTAAAAGTAAACAGATATATCCGGTCGAAGGATTAATTAGTGAACGAACGTAATGAAAAAGTGTCGTGTTAATCCTTCAGTCATGATCCAGTGTCAGAAAGTCTTATATAAATGGGTGATATAAAGGGGAGGAGGTGAATCTCTAACTGCAAAAAATAATTTTCAAATAAACAATTGACAGAAAAACATGTAAAAAAAAAATGACAACAAATTTAATTTCACACTAAAGACTTTACTATTCCCCCTTTGCCCCCTATCAACCCCTAAGAAATGAAAAATCATGAAAAAAAAAAAGTTTCAATGAAAAATTTAAAAAATGTAAAAAAAATGTTATGAAAAATCAATAAAAAATTCGAGTGTCAAAAAAATAACATGGTATGTTCCTCAAAGTCAGGAATAAACATAACCACTCGTAAGCGCATAATAATGAACTCATTAACAAGTTCGAGTACGAGTACTGCGACATTTTGCAGTGAGAAAGATTCCCGGTGTTATTACCTACCGAGGAATCTGCCTCGCCGATCGAGTGACGCCGTAGCTTGGCTAATTCCGCCTGAATCTGCCGCCGAACTCCCCCGAACCTTCAGTGCGCATGCGTGAGTAACGAAAATAGGTCGCAAAACAACAATGGAAAATCAAAAAAATAACCCCTCTAGAATTTTACAAATCAAAAAATGATGAAGAAACATATTTTAGTGGTTAAAAAAATTTGCAAAAAAAAAATCTCCAATTTTTTTTCAGTGAACATGTTTCGGCTTTTTATAAAGTCAAAATAATGAAAAGGAATTTTGTTTGCACTTACCAGTTGCCGATCTGCCGATTTTGATGTTAGGATGATTTTTCGCGAACTATCTTGCAGATCCTCTGTAGCACTCAACGGTCGAGATATGACTAAGGCATTCTACGACGGATGTTTTTTCCAGAGAGCAAAGGAGATTGGCATCCCACTGCCTTTGATGATCAAGTGATGAAGTGAATTGCACTTTCGATTAGTTCCTGCCATTGATTAAAAAAATATCTCCACCAGCTCGCGGAGTTGAGATAATAAAAAGTCGTCTCGCGAAAGAAAGGTCAATTGCCATAAAGATATTGGAGTATTTTCTAAACTTGCCGATAGCCAATTTATAAATTTTAATAAACAATTTATAAATGTTCGCATGACCATCCACAAAAAATGAGTATTAACATTCCAAATGGAGTGCGTTTTTATGGATTTTCAAGTATTGAAAGGATGAAGATATAAGGGGTTAGGTAATTCCCACCTGTTGATTAGAAAGCGCGGGAAAATCAAAATTATTTTGCAAAATTTTGCAAAATTTTACCGGTTCTTTATAGTTTTATTATAGACTACTGATGACTTTTATTGTTTTATTTCAGACCGAGAAGACGAAAACCGAGAAAGCTCATACTAGCAACACTCCTGTTATTCGTTATCGCGGTGATAATAACCACCGCGATATTCCTGCATTTCGGTAGAAGAGAAAGATCTCACAATGGGGGTGGATTAACGCCCCCAGACAGTTATGACTTCCTCCCCCCCTCTTGGAGTAAATTAAGGGTCTTCAAAGGTGGCGCCGTGTGCTCAGATGGAGCGCCATGCGCAGAAATCGGAAAGTAAGAACACAATAACCCCTTTTTACTCCAGATCTCTCGAGATCGATCAGAGTGATGAGCAGGTTGATAATACGACCCCTCTGCCTCCATTATTTCCACTTAAGTTAGAATTGAAAACCGAAAAATCGGTTGAAAAATCGGTAAAACTTGGTAGTTGGATATGTCGATAACAATCGATTCAAAATCGATTATCGACCAGTGTTTTTCATGGGAAATTTTCCTGGCTTTCTAACTAAGCCAATCTCATCCCCCTACTTCCCATGTTTTGTTTTGTTTGAATCATGTTTTGTTGTACTACTCTGTACTGCGTTGTAGGCTTCGATGGGCGTTTGCCTGAAGCCGTAAATAAATAAATAAATAAATAGTTAATAATAGTTAATGAACTTGAGCCCAAACTCCTCTCTCAACCGAAATCGATGATTTTAGGGGTATCCTCGCGAAAAATGGATCAGCAGTGGATGCAACCATCGCAACCATGATCTGCAACGGTCTCGTGAATATGCAGGCGATGGGATTGGGCGGTGGTTTCATGATGACGATCTACGATCGTAAGACTCAAAAATCCTATTTCCTAGTGTCACGTGACGTGGCGCCACTGGCAGCAAGGTCAAACATGTACCATAACCAGGGTGTCAATGCCACCAACATCGGCCCCCTCGCGATTTCTGTGCCCGGTGAGATAGCCGGATACAGCACGGTGCATGAGAAATTTGGCAGACTCAAGTGGGAGGAGCTCTGGGCCCCAAACATCGAATTATGTGACAGGGGATGGAACATGACGAAAGGACTCTACGATGATTCCCTGGAGGCCATTGACCTGGTCCGGGCGGATTCTACCCTGAGGAAGATATTCATCGTCGAGGGGAGCGATGAGTTGAAGAAACCCGGGAGTCTAATCAAACCTGACAAACTCTGCGACACTATGAGGATTTTGCAGAAGAAGGGGGCGAAAGAGTTTTATAATGGCACCCTGGGGAAGATGTATATTGACGATTTGAGAAGACAGGGAAGCATCTTGACGATGGAGGACCTCAACAGGTCAGTCTTTCCACCATTTTTTTTTTCTTTAAATTTTCATTGTTATTTATAGTTTGTTGTTTATTATTTACTATTCATTATTCATTGTTTATTATTTATCATTGACATTATTAAATGATGAATAATAAATAAATGATGTGCGAGGTCGGGATTTGAACCCGGAACCTCTCGCATGTGAGCCAATGATTTTACCGACTGCGCCACTCAACTTTTGGCGATTCCCCGTAGTTTGTTGAATTACTTCTTGAGAATTTATGATTATCCAGGTATCGACCCGTATGGAAGACGACTCTGCAAACAAATTTATCGGATGGTACACGTGTTTTCACACCCAATTTACCGAGCAGTGGTGCATTGTTATCTTTCATTCTCAACGTACTGGATGAATTTAAATTCACTCCTGATAGTCTCAAAGGATGGAACAACACGATTCTCACTTATCACAGGATCATCGAGACTTGGAAATTTGCTTACTCGATGAGAAGCAAAATGGGGGATGATTTGTTCGTTGATATGAGAGAGGTGCCATTTTTGTTTTCTTCAGCAATTGTTATTTTTTTAAAATTGATAATTGGTTTTACAACCCTCAATTGTCTTCTCTCAAATGACCCCAATTCATAAATCGTTGAATTTTTTGTTTTTTTTGTTTTTTCTCGAAGACTTGAAAGGAAAAAATGTTGATTTCTTTAATTTGATAGCAAATTTCTCGAACTATCCAATGGGGTGGATTCAACTGGCATCCCCCCCCCCTGTCCCGTAGAAAGACTTATTTGATTTTTAATGCAGTTCGTCAAGAATTTGACGTCCAGGGATTACGCGCGATCTGTAAAGGCTCAGATAACCGATGATAGAACGTGGAATGATCCAATTCATTACGGAGCTGGAAAGGAGCTCCGTGGGGACCACGGAACAGCGCAAATCTCAGTTTTGGCTCCTGACGGCGATGCCGCTTCTGTAACCAGCAGTATTAACATGTAGTAAGTGAAAATACGCAACTATCTTTTTTTTTTAAATCAACAAGATATACTTGTATTTTTCTATTCTATCAACATATTTTAGAGAGATCATCGTAAAGAAGATGAAAAACGCAATTTTTTTAAATCTATGGAGAATTTAAAAATTGACCTTTTTTTTGAATAATCATCGGGTGTCAATATTGTCAATTTTTTTCAAGCCATTTTAACTGAAGTGATAAATAAAAAAAGTGCCTCAAATTTCTAATATTGCACTAAAATAGTTTGAAAATAAATGGAAGAATGCAAATTGATTTTAAAAGGGATAATTTTCCTTTCAGTTTTGGAAGCGGTATCGTCAGCGAACAAACTGGAATAGTATCAAACGCTGGAATGGACGATTTTACAGTGCTGGGAAGAGTCAACTACTACGGTGTCGCTGGAACCAACAAAAATAATTTAATTGAACCATTAAAGAGGCCCATGTCCTCTATGGTTCCGTCGATACTCGTATCACCAAGTGGTGATGTCAGAATGGTCATAGGGGGCGCTGGTGGCACGAAAATCACCACTTCCGTTTCATTCGTAAGTGTCAAGCTTAAGGCAAAAAAGTGCACTCGTCCACCGTAATATAAATAAGAATAAGAAATGAATAAAATAAATAAGAGTCTAAATAGTTTGTGTATCTATCGTCAGCCAACTCTTGACATTACAGACGATAGCGAGACACCTGTGGATGAATAACACGATAAAAGAGGCCCTGGACGCGTCGAGGATTCATCACCAGGTGTACCCGATGAAGGTGGCCTACGAGTACGGTGTGCCCCAGCCAGTTATAAGGGGCTTACAAAACTTGGGACACAAAACCTCGCGCTATCGCGATCGAGGCAGCTGTGTTTGCGGTCTAACTCAAATAAACGGCACTGTCTACGCGAATGCCGATCATCGGAAGAATGGTGATGTCTACGGGACCAATGAGAAACATATCCTGAAATTCTGATAATGTTATTTATCTATCATGTGATTTTGTAATTGTTGACGAGTTCAGTGAAATGATGACAATTTTTCCAATAATCGATCATGTTTTTATTGTTTAGATCCTCATCCTATGGCAGGGGCATAAAATTTTTTATTCTTCTATTCTATTCGATAATTCATGGGAAATTATGGTTTAAACATTTATTTATTTATTTATTTTTTGGTTTATTATCTAAAGGATTAGGACGCGTTGAAATTATCTGAAATCTTTTAATTCTCATATCAGTAGATTTTTCAGTTACAGTGTTGAGGCGCGTGCCGCTCGACTCTTTTTCATTGCGAGTGCGAGGCATGATGCAGCATGCCTCGGACTTAGCAACAAGGAAACTGCGTAATTCGCATTATCGCATTTCCTTTCATTCACCCAGACAACAGCTGTTTTTGTAAAAATATATTTTTCGCACTTATTCATCCATATGATAGGGTCGATCGTGACCCCATCATATGGATAAGCTAATTTTAATCCCTCAATTATTAAATTTAAAAAAGTCAACTTAATTTAAATACTCTTCTGATTAATAAAACTTTTCCAGGAATTAATGATGAAATATTTTATCCGATTGTTGCCTATTGATAATTACTCAGAGACAGACAATTGGAATTGTTTCGAATATCCTGGGGTGACCGATCGATTGAAAAACTCGGGAGGAGAATGGGTGTTTTCATCCAACCGCGGGGTTATCGAGGTATTAATGCACCGACTGTTTGCGGGGCATGGAAAAATAAAATGACAACGTCACGGACTTTGTGCAACTGCTTGGGTATTCAGTGATAAGGGGGTGATTAAAACCGGGGGACGTTGCGCCGAGACATTCCAGACGCATCGTGTGTCTTGGCAACGATAACAACAAATATTGCATCATCTCAAAATCCATTTTTCTATTGTTGCTCTTTTTTTTTTCTTTTTTTTTTTCATAGGTTTAAAATTGGTTTTCTGTATAAGTTTAAACATTTATGCGTCGAGAGGGTGGGGCAGAGGAGTCGAAACTCATCCCAATAAAGAGATCAAGAAAATGAAAAGGAAAAAAAGACCAAGAACAAGTAAAATTTATTCTTTTTTTTTTGTTTTTGAGGGAATTTTGGGGGTAAAACGGGTTAGTTTTTTTGCCCAATGTAATATGGGAAATTTCTGGATCTTTCGAACGGCCTAGGGTAGGATAACCTCCTCTCCCCCAACTCCCTCGACCATTTCCGTTGAATGAATAGAATGTTCTTCTAGAATTTTCTAATCTGAGAATTTATGTTCAACTTTAATCTGCGAAAAAAACTATTTGCTGGTTTAAAACCTCTGCAAGTGTCCTTGGAAGATATCTTAACATTTTTTTTGAACCTCTGGAAACACTGAATTACCCGAGAACGTTGGCAAAACGATTTTAGAAAATTTCCATTTTTAAAATGAACTCTGAATTTTTGGGTGTTTTTCTATCTTTTGTGTCAGTTTTCGCATAAAATGAATAACTTAGATTTCTTTATAAATTGAAAAATTAATCCTTTATATAATTTCATTTTGAAAATTTCAACCGCTCACATTAATTAATATTCATTGAAAATGAATCGTCTACGATTGGATGGGGGTCGAAACTAATCTCATCCTAATAAATCGGAAAAATTGAAGAAAATCTAATAAAAAAATCCGTTTCAAAGTGAAAATTGTTTTTTGTTTTTTGAAGTAATTCTGAGGGCAAAACAGGTCATTTTTCATTGTTATTTCGTTCCAATCGTCAAAATAAACATTGACTCACATTAAAAATAAACATTAACTCATCGCTGTTTCTCCAACAAATGTATTACCCCGAGAAACCTCCAACCCCTTCCAAAAATTGGTGGTCACCGAAAACATCACAAACACCTCCAACCGTTGCACATTCTAGAATCTCCGCGCGCCCTACGCGCTTGCGCAGCAGGAGACTTCCCTAAAAACTCCCCAAAACCCTAGAAATCGCATTTGTCCCCTAACCAGCCCCCCCCCCCACAAACTGCGATTTTTCCACCAAAAAAAATAATGAAAAACTGCGAAAAATGACCTTGAGGTGTCGAAATAATGCACCACGACCTCGCGACGTCAAACGGCCGCGCATGCGCTGTGCCGGGACACCCTCAGACGATAAAAGGGGGGCACGCGAGGCCGGGGAGCGCAGTACACAAACAGAAACAAAGGAATTCATATCGAACTCTCGCAAAAACCGTTCTCGAGTGTTAATAAATTTTAATTGACTCGTGATAATGTCTGAGATTTATGTAGACGAGTACGAGCACTTCAATTACGATTACGATAAGCATATATTCACGGGACACGGTGGAAAGCAGAGGAGCAAGAGAGAGGCTAGTGAGCACACTAATCATTTTGATCCAAATGGACATTCCAGAAAAATCGTTACCAAGTTGATGAATTCCGAGCACAACAAGAGGCATGTCGATAAAAGCAAGGCTTAGGAGGTTACTCAAGGTGAGTGATTCGAGGGAGGGGTTGGAGGACAAAATGGCGGAGAAACTGCGTCGCAGTTTCGAGGTCTTTTGTTTGCGGTAGACCATGGGGGTTTAGAATTTTCGGGAGAAATTTTATGCCAAGGGTTTGGTAGGGGAGGAAATTTTCTATAAAAAAGGTGGGATGGGCGTTTACGGCAAATTGGTAGTTAGGAAGATAATTGGAGTTGAAGTTTTGAAGGGAAATTTTGAGATTTCACATGTGAATTGAAAGTCTTGTGTTGTTTTTCGGGAAATTATCATAGAAATGGAGGGGCTTAGGGGAAATTTTCCGCAAATATTTTGTAAGAGAAGAAATTTCCTAAAAAAAAAAATCCTAGAGGTTTTTGGATAAAATTAATATTTACAGAGATATTTGAAGTTGTCTCCAATAGAGTGAAATTCAACATTTTTTTGTAATTATCTTGAATAATGTTTAATCAATATATTTTTATAGAGATGATCGAACTTGAAAGTTGGTATTGAAGTTGTGGAAGGTAATATTTCTAAAAAATGTCACAAGCAATATTTAGATATTTTTTAAAAAATATCCTCTGAAATTTTTTTCTTAAAATTGATAATTAAAAAAAAATTAGCAAGTTTAAAATTTTGGGGTTTTCATTAGATTTGCCTTCAAATGTTAGAAATTAAAAAATATGTCTTATTATTGCTTCTTCTATTATTTTTGTCAAGGAATTGTGGAGAAACCTTTCTTTTCCTATAATTAAATTTACAACAAAAAATAATGCGATTATTTAATTTCAATTGCAACTTGGCACATTTCTGGATAAATACATTCAAAGCAACCACTTGAAACCCATGTATCTCTTTAGCAATCATTTTTATAACAAAAAAATGTTAAACTCATGTTTTCCACTTTCTGTTAACAGTTTCGTGATAATTTGTGTGTTCCCACGTCCTCGGCCCCCCTATTCTCCACCATCTCCAGGGTCAGAGTGACCCCCCAGGCCCGCAAGGACAGCCTCGAGCAAGCATTTATTCACGACCAACAGACCTTCACCTGGAAATCCCACAATCTACGAAACCTAATATACAAGAGTCTATCTTCACAGAGGAGAGTTCAATCTCTCCTAATCCTCTGGTGAGGGGTGAATGCCCCTCGTCGATTCCCCTCCCCCCAGAAGAATATTAATAAGATTTAAAGAGTGAATATTGATACTGTAGTGCTAGTAATTAAAGGCTGATCTAGAAACAGTCGTTAATTTCGCATTTTTCTCGTGTTTTTGTAGCTCTAGGTATAAATAACTCATCAATCATCTCATTTAGTGAAAAGTACTTACTTCAGAATTTTTTTTTTTAATGTTGAAGATGTATGAGAATGAAAAGTATTAAATAATAAAATGTGTTTAAAATGAGGTCTTGGCTTTTTCGTTGTATTTATTTTTCTCTCTGGGGTGCAGTGGAATAGGAAATCTCTTACGGTTAATTGGATGTTGAGACCTAGGTTCTCTATCTAATCCGGTTTCTTGGCTCCAGGGGAGGAGTGGAGAAATAGTTCTAGTGGTCTGCGAAGGATTACAGTTCGCGTCTGCATGTGATATTGAGGGGGGGTCGAGTCATTCCGTACGGTTTCAGTTTCATAATTTGGGCTCATTTTGTTTGAAAGTTGATTGGTATTGTCATGTGAAAATACGATAATTAATATAAAACTAGAAATTAATAAATGGAAAAGCCGCGCGGTAACTCAATAGAGAGAATGTTCCAACGAACAATATGAGCCCAATGAAGGGAGTGACTTAAAAAACGCTAATAGACTGAATAATTAGTAGCAACGCCAACGAATTATCAATAATTGACGTCAAATATCACTGTGTGATAATACTCTTCCCTCATCGATTCATTAAAAAATTATTTATTAGCGTAAAACGAGTTTTTAGCCTTCTCGACATTGCCTCCTTATATTACACTTGAGTATATAAATTATCCTACTATTTACTAATCTACGATATCCATCACTGGCAACTCTTGAAAAAATAATATCCACGCCACGGTAAAAAAAAATATTACACGTCACCCGTGTCACAACAGAGAACAAGAACCCCTACTTTGCGCAAAAAAAAATGTTATAATTCAACTTGTTCAATTTTCCTTGTGAAAAGGTGAAGATAACATTTTAAAACTGGTCCCATCGTTTCTCTCAGACATTTTCCCCTCGAATAAGAGAAAAAAAACAATAAATTTTTACCTAAAACATTGTTTTAATCAATAACTTTAATCATCTCTTCTCAACCTTCTTCAAATTTTTCATTTGTTTAAACTTAAATCTTTGTTTCCCTCTGTTTTAACATTTATTTTTCTTCTTCTTCTTCGTGGGAAAAAAGTTTATGAATTTTCTCAGGTCCCAAAAGCCTGACAATTATCCCAAGATGATTATCAAACCAATCATGCATGTTTTCATAATTAAGATTTGTAATTAAGAAACCTTGAGAGCAAATTCCTCGTAGTTAAGTTCCTGCCTCAGGAGTCCTGAGAGTAAAAATTCGATATCAACGACATGAACTCTGACGTTTTTCGCTCTTGATAACATCTTCTTGACCTTGGGTAGATCCTCGGGGCAGCTGACGATGACAGAGTCAGGAGGCCAGATGGCAGGTGCCCTCACCAGAGACTTGCCCCCAGCAGTTTGGACCATGGTCTTGAGATCAGGAATGCTGGGTCCTGAGAGCTTGGAGGTCAGGACAATGGTCCTTCCCTCGAGGAGTTTGCCCTCCCTGGCTCGATTGAGAGACCTCCCCAGATTGAATTTGTACCTGGTCTCTGAGGCTGGATCGTGGAGAATGTACTTGCTGGGGTCGAGGAATTTTTTTGCAGCCACTGACGACTGCAACCAGGCGATGGAGACGATGGGGATGCCCCTGGAGATGGCGCAGAAGAACTTGACGGTCCTCCGGACCTTGTCAGTGACGAGAATAGTGGCCTCGTGGGGATGGTCTGTGACGATACCACCGAGAGCAGCAACCGAGTCCTGGTCCACTTGCTCCTTGACCCCAGTAAACAGCACCTGCTGCGTCCTGTGCTCCTCCAGAAGACTCCTGGACCTCACAGCCCTCGAGGGGGAGCTCGCCACCTCCTCGAGCCTCCTCTTCTTCCCTCTCACCACATCCTCAAGCCTCTCCTGCTGCCCCCTGTGGTCCCCAGGGGCCTCCTCAGCCCCACGGAGGATTCTCCTCACCTCCTGGGATTCCGCTCCAGGACTGGACTCCCCAGAATTGTCTCGTCTTGCCCTCTTGCTCCTTCTCATCCCCTCGTCCTCCTCTTCATTTTTCCTTCCACGTCCTCTCTTCCTTGCCACCTCCTCCTCCTCCTCCTCCTCCTCCTCCTCAGCAACTTGCGCCACTTTTTTCCTTCCTCTTCCCCTGCTAGTCTTCACGTCCTCCTCAATATTCTTCGACTTGTCGTCACTCCTCTCCACTTCATCATCCTGGCCCAAGATCACTCCCAAGCTCCTCCCAGTATTGCTTGAGGCAACACTCTTTGCCTCATTTAGTCGTCCCCTCAACGATCTCTCCTCGCCGCCATCCTCCTGCCTCTTACTCTTACTCGTTATTAAATTCTTCTTCAAGTCCTTCTTTTCCATCTTGTGCTGCATCTTTGGAATCCTCGACTCCACCACCGTTTTCCTTCCTCTCCCTAGCCGGGGGGGGCTCTTGCCGACCCCCGAAGATGTCAGGAAGCCATCAGCCATCTTATTAATGCTCTCAAAGTCAGAGTCCTCGTCCTCAGAATCATCGACAGATTTTTTATCAACAATTTTCCTGAGAGAAATCTTGGGAATCCTCACGACTTTCGATCGTCCAGGGCTTTCCAGGCCCTTCCCCGAGGTCCCAGGACCCCTAGCAGACACTTGTGATGATATCGAAGAAGCCGGACTACTCAAAGGACGCGATGAAATCCCCCAGATCTCGGTTTTCAGGAGATCCTCAGAATTTTCCTTAATTTTCTGGCCTTTACCCTGGAGTCTAGAAGATTTCCTCGGAGTAGATGGCCCAGCAATTGACACGGCCTTGTCAAACCCTAAGATCGGTTCGTCCTCTGAGGACATGCTCACCAAGACGTTTTTCGGACATTTTTGGCCCTTTGCATTGCTGAGATGATTCTCCTGAGAGTCCACATCATCCCCAGAAGCAAGCCTTGCTGATTTTCCCATGACATTTGTCGATTTCTGCTGATTTTTTTTAGTTTTTCGGCCACGGGTTTTGACAATTTTTGGGGATTTTCTCTCCATCTCCTGACCCTTGGGGGATCCTGGAGGCGACTGCGAGGATTTCAAAATGTCCACCACCTCCTGGGTCATCATAAATCCCCCAGGATCAACACCCCTGTCCTCAACCCCTCCAAACATACTGTCCAAGTCTCTGGTGATGGAGTCCTCCAGGTTTTCCCCAGTTTTTTGGTGACTCTGGGGATTATTCTGAGAGGATTTGTCGGTGGAGATGCTTCTGGACTCACTGAATGCACTGTCCTTACTCTCAGCTTCCCTCCTGGACCTCAGAGATAGATTGAATCGTCGTTTTTTGGCTGGGGTGGCGCCGAAAGGCGTCGAAGTGATGATTTTCGAGTCTTCGGGGTTTGGCGGGGTCTTCTGGGGGGTGAGGGTCGATTTTTTGGGAATTTTTTTCAAGGTTCTGGAGAGATTCTGCGATTCTTGGAGCTTTTTCTGGGACTGCTGGGGATTTTTAGGGGGCCTCAAGGATCTAGGGGTGTAGGAATTGTCTTTGGAAGCATTATCAAGATCTTCGGAATCTGAGGGGGGAGTGGTTTTGGTGATTTTAGGGGCGGATTTGATGTTTCTGGAAGATTTCTGGGGTTTTTGGGGATTTTTTGAGGTTTCTGGGAGAGCTCTAGGGGGGTGGGAATTGTTTTTGGGGGCATCATCGAGGTCTTCAGAATCTAAGGAAATGGCAATGGTTTTGGAGATTTTAGGGACCGGTTTGACGTTTTTGTAAGAATTGTGGGGTTTCTTGGAATTTCTAGAGGCCCTTGAGGGTCTGGAAGGATGCACATTTTCTTGGGGATTGTCAAGGTCTTCAGAGTCTGAGGACGGAATCTCAGCCAATTTCCTAGGGGTGGGTTTAGCATCTTTTCTGGAGGAATTCTTGGATTTCTGCGGATTTTTAGGTGTTTCTGGGAGATTTCTAGGGTTCTTTTGGAGTTTAGTGATCTTGGAGAGGTGAGAATTCTCTTCAGGGACATTTTCGAGGTCTTCAGAGTCAGAGGAAGGAATAGTCGCGAATTTTCTAGGCGTGGAATTCCTACTCTTCCCTGAATCTTGTGCATTCTTCTGCATTTTTTGGAGATTGTGTTGACGCTTTAAGCCTTCAACATCGATCACCTGACAAGAATCACTATCATTGAGGAACCCCATTCTTCTCTTCCTATTCTGATCATCATCGTCATTAACCTGTCTCTTTTTTGATGATGAATCATCATCGAAGTACTGGGACTGAGTTTTGTCGGGATCGATGACTTCAAAATCATCTTCATGTCCCCTAGATGGCCCCGGGGCCCCATTCCTCTGACTCTTCAAGATGAGCTGAGTTGGTTCCATATCATCGAAATCCATAATCTGTCGTGTTTTACTGGATGAGCAATTAATCTTCTGAGTTGGCTCGAGGTCGCCATCATCATTCTGACCTGATGACATGGGAATGACCTGCGTTGGATCCATGTCATCAAAATCAAGAGCCCTTTGATTTTTCAGAGTTTCCATATCAATTTTCTGAGTTGGAATCAAATCTTCGTCTTCATCCTCATAATGACATAGATTATTTGAATCAACTTTCGGAGTAAGTCGCCAACGTTTTGGCTGGACTATGAGCTGAGTTGGGGCTGAATAAGGATCATCGTCATCATCAGGGCCATCATCCTCTGAATTTCTTGTTGATTGAATCATTCTGAGGACATCTGGAGGGAGATCAGAGGTATCGACATTTTTAATTTGATTTTTTGATGATTTCTCTGGAATCTTGGAATCATTTTCTTCACCTCCTGAATTATCATGAGAGGTCCTAGAGGCTCCTTGAACACTTCCAAATGCATCTGGTGATTTCATTGATGATTTAGAATTTTTGCAATCATGTTTTGATGATTTCGATAGCTTTGCAGGTTCTTCAAAGTCTGTGTCACTGCCTGATGAGTTTTCGATGACCTGATGAGGTTTCTCTGGAGTTTCATCGATTGTCACGACCTCTGAATGTCCATTGGGGACTCTTGATGACTTGGAATGATTTTCTGGGGGATATTTTGATGATTCTTGAGAGATTCTCAAGGATTTCGAGGGTTTCTTAGCGCCAGTTTCGCCTTCTGATGACTCTGAAGATATCGAAATTATTTTCCCAAGCTTCTCAGGGGATCCTGATGATTTTGATGATGTGGAAGAGATTTTTGTCATGTCTGGAGAAGAAGTTCTTGGACATTTTCCCGATGTTTTCAATGATTTTTCTGGAGTTTTTTCGTCATCTTCACTGTCTGAAATGATGTAAGATGCTTTAGTAGATTGTATCATTGATGATTTCGATGGATTATCCTCGAAGTCTGTGTCCTCTTCGGAAGATGCAGGAATCACTTTTAAGAGTTGGCGAGCTGATTTTGATGATTTGGAATAATCAATCGATGATTTTGAATTTTTCAGGTCAGCTTTTGATGATTTTGACATGATTTTAGAGATACTTGAGTCTTCCTCGAAATCTGTATCATCTTCAGAAGCTGCAGGTGATGATGAGTTGAGATCATTTTTCGATGATTTTGAAGTACTTTTTGAAGTGCCCAAATCTTCATAATCTGTGTTGTCATCATCAGAAGCTGCAGCAGTTGATTTTGATGACTTTTTGAAATTATTTTTCAATGATTTCGAATTTTTAAAATCATTCTTCGATGACTTGGAACCTTTTTTCGATGACTTGGAATTTTTAAAATCATTCTTCGATGATTTCCCATTCACTTTAGCTCCTTCGAACTCCTCAAAATCAGTTTCGCATTCCGAATCATCAACCACCATTTTCTCAACAGTTTCTGATGATTTGCCATCATTTTTAGATGATTGTTCACCGCTCCCAAAACTTTTTCCCAATTTTTTAACCTTCATTTTCCCCACATTGTCTCCATCATCATTATCATCATTGCTGTCAGAATCGCTGACGATTCCATTTTTCTTGAATCTCCCCTTATCACTCCCTCCCTCTCCAACATTCGCCTCTTCCGCCGTTCGATGATTTTCACTCAATGATGTCGATTCATCAAGAATACTATCCTCCTCATCAGAATCATCAATGATGATGTGCCCAGGGCCATTAATAAGCTCTGGAGAAGAACTCTGACTCCTGGAGACTCTAGCTTCCCCCTTCTCACGTTTGAGAGTTTCAGAATATTCGAAATTGGTCTGGGTGGGGAGATCATAGATCCCACAAAGATCATCATGGTTATCATCAGGATCAACTGCCTGAGTGTGGAGATCATGAATTGTAAGTTGAGGCGCCTGGGTCTCCAGGTCTTGGATGCTGGAACCCTCAGGAAGAGGTCTGGAATTTTCAGGATCATTTTTCAATGATTTTTCATCTTGACAGTTGCCTTTACGTTTGGAAATGAGCTTGTTGTTGTCAGTATCACGATCAGAGTCTTGAGTTTCCATCTCGTAAATTTCATTTTTCCTCCCAGGAGCATTCCTCCTGAAGACATCCGCACCTTCTGCATCATCTTCAGGGTGAAATGCCTGAGTCTCAATTTCCTGCATGTTTTTCCTGTTCTTAGGGTCGCCTCCCAGGGGTTTAACGCCTTCAATCGTGTATGTATATCTGTGCCTAAGTTTGTTGCCATCTGCCATGGTTTTGGAACATCCAGGAACATCATCCTCCAGCTCATCATCATTATCATCGGGGTTGAAGCTCTGGGTCTCAAGCTCGTGAATCTCAACTTTTCTACCAGGAGAATTTCCACTAGCAACTTTTTTTAAACCTCCAGGAGCACCACAGTCATCTTCTACATCATCTCCAGAAGCAGCAAACAACACCTGGGTATCAAATTCTTGAATGTTTTTTCGGACATTTTCTGACAATTGAAGCCTAGAAGTATCATTGACTACTTGTGTCTCCATCTCCTGGATGTTCACCAAGTCTTCCGGGTGGTCATTAACCTCTTGGCCACTCCCTCCCACCTGCGTCTCCATCACCTGAATGTCGGAGTCATTGGTTGTTCTGTTGTCATTCTTGAGGGTTGAGGATTGCGTTTCGAGGTCTTGGAGATGGTCTTCAGAATTCACCTGTGTCTCCAGGTTTTGAAGATTCTCTCCTGATTCTGGAGTGGGATATTTCATGGTAGGAATTGTTCTCCTGTGAGCAGGAACCGTAGGACGACGAAAACTATCGTCATCATGGGGCCTTGGTGTGGCTTCGATCACAGAGATCTCTTGGGAGTCATCACTCCTCAATCGCAATCCGGGCTCGGGAGTGTCTGGTGCGAGAATTGAATCATTCTCCGGTCTCTTCAGGAAGAATCTACCCTCGACTACCCCGAATTTCAGGGAGGCGCCGTCCTGGAGCTCGTAAAATCTCGAGGGGAGTAGAACTGCCTGAAAATGGTAGATATTTTTGTTACTGGTGTGTAAAGTTACATTTTCAGGTATGAAAAAGGGGAGCTTTTTGATATATGCGCATCACAAAATTGCCCTTACTTTTTTGACTCGATATTTAATAAAATTAAATTTCCGTCCATCACTATGCAATTTTTAAAAAAATGGTTGTTCGAGTGTAAAAAATATTTTCTACAACACGAGTTTGATGAAACGAGATTTTTTGCTCGCTTTGCATCGAGAAGTTGGCACTTTTATGATATTACAATAAAATAATTTCACATTTTACACCTGTATTATAATACAGGTGAACTTTTCATAGAGTCCTATTTATGGCAAAAATGATGTTTTTCTGTATTATTCATGATTTAGACCATCTATTTTTAACACCGAATTAAAACTAAAAGAATCTCTAGATCTAGAGGAGATAAAAGGGTGTTTTCCATTGGAAATTATCATTGCTATCATTGCTCCCGAAATACCAAAGCCCAAACAAAAAAAAATTTTTTGTTTACAGCCAAGAAGAAATGTAATCAAATGCCGGAATAATTATTCAATAATTGATAGACGATTGAAAAAAAAAAAAAAGTGTTATTGTTTACTCACATCATTCAGCCGAGTTTTGTTGGACGACTGAAGATCACAAATGAAGACATTTTTCCCATTTGCCTCGATCTCCGCATGCATTTTCGATACAGTCTATAAATAAATTGATTGTAAGTAATTGTACATAAACGTTTTTACAATGAAAAATAGCGTATAATCAGTGCAATGTATGAAGGATCAAAAGTGCAAGCGATAGTAGTTGAATATTTTTGTCCACCGAGGGTCACGTCACGTGACCGATTGCTGTTTAGTGATTAATGATAATAATAAAAAGAAAAAAAAAACAAGCGAGTAAGAGAAATTTCGTAAAAATCGAATAATCGGGTATTTTTGTATAATAATGTTTTTTCGGTTGTGATTATTCCATTATCACGGTACATGAGTCCAGATCGGGGAGTGAATAGTATAAATAACGAGTGGAATTGGCCAGAAGGTATGAGTCGTAGTATTCAAGTGTAACAATGAAGTTGCTGGTGTTGCTGTACTTGGTGCCATTGGCCCTTGCGACCCTTGACAAGGACAAGACTCCGGATGGCCCCAGAATGACGACACCCTTGGGAGGCGTCCGAGGTTTCTACAAGTACTCTCAGAATGGCAGAAAGTTTATGGCTTTCGAGGGAATTCCGTACGCACAGCCGCCAGTTGGAGAGCTACGCTTCAGGGTAATTAGCACAGCTTCATTTCCAAGAATACAATGAGATCAATGAAAAATGTTGATTGTCTTACAGCCTCCACAAAAGCTGAGCCCGTGGACCGGTGATATGGTGGCCCTGAAGACAGGTGCCCCCTGCCTCCAGTACCAGCACACCCCCCTCAACCAGAAGGAAAGAATAGTCGGCTCTGAAGACTGTCTCTACCTGAACATTTACAAACCTCTGACCGAGAAAAGCAAAGCCCTCCCCGTCATAATTTGGATCCACGGTGGTGCATTCCAGTGGCATATGGAGGCCCGCGACGGACAATTCACTAAACCCGACTACATAATGGATCGTGATGTTATTCTGGTCACCTTCAGCTACCGTGTTGGACCCCTGGGTTTCTTGTCAACAGGTGATGACCTGATCTCCGGTAACATGGGTCTCAAGGATCAGAATATGGCAATTCACTGGGTCAAGGACAACATCAAGGGATTCGGTGGTGATCCTGAGGAGATGACTCTCTTTGGTTTGAGCGCTGGTGGTGTCTCGGTTCACTATCAATACCTGACACCCCTGACCAAGCCTGGTCTATTCAAACGTGAGTTGAAGCTTTGAAACGCCGCTTCGAGATGATTGAGCTGATTCTTCTTTTATCTTTCATCTTTTTCCTATGCCAGGTGGACTCTCCTTCAGTGGTAACGCACTTAACCCATGGGCCATCACCGAGAATGCACCGGAGAAGGCTAAGAAACTCGCCAGCATCGTCGGCTGCCCAACGGCAGACGCCACCGAGATGGTCAAGTGTCTCAAGAGCCGTCCCGCCCGCCAGATTGCGCGTACCGACATGGATTTTATGGTAAGATTTCATGGTCGCCAGGCCTCTGGCCCTCAACTCAAGGGAACAAACAAAATAGCCAAATGATTTGCTAATTATTATTACACCCCAGGTATTCGAGTTCAACCCAATGACGCCCTTCGGACCAGTCGTTGAGAAGACAACAGCGGAATCCCCCTTCATCACCAAGATTCCCCACGAGATAATCATGAAGGGTGAAGCCCTAGACGTACCCTGGATCACTGGAGTAGTCCCCGAGGAGGGTCTCTACCCAGGTGCCGACTTTTGCGCCAACCCTGTCCTTCTCAAGGAGTTGGACGCCAGATGGGACGAGCTAGCCCCCCACATCCTTGACTTTAACTACACAATTCCCCTCAACAAGCAGATGGACGTCGCCAGGAGGCTCAGGAAACACTACATCGGCGATGGACCGATTGACAAGAGGACAGCTATGAGCCTCGTCCACATGATCGGTGATCGTCTCTATGTCATGGGTGGTGTCAAGGCTATCAAGCTGATGGCCAAGTACAACAAGAGCCCCATGAGGTACTACTACTTCACTTACCACGGCGCTGACAGTTTGTCTTACGCTATGACGATGACTAACGAGGATTGGGGTTAGTGAAGGAGGCGTGTGAGGGTGATTGATGAGGTGCAAACACACTATTCAATGTTTTTGAACGTTTTTTAGGTGTTGCCCACGGCGATGATCCTTACTACGTCGTTGGATCACCCTTCATGGACCCCACGACCACTGAGGAGGATCGTGCCATGCAGAGGGAACTCCTGGACATGTGGACGACTTATGCCATCAAGGGGTAAGGACAAAAAATCCACCTCCACCTTTTTCTAATTGATTTTTCTCTCATGTTTAACAGAAAACCTGAGGTACCACTGGACTGGACTACAATAGACCCCTCCAAGGAGGAACTCGTCTACCTCCACATCAAAGGACCAGGAAAGTACGAGATGGACTCTGACAAGAACTTTGGACAAATCAAGCTGTGGGAAAGCATTGATTTCGACGAGGGCAAAGTTGGGGGGAGAAAGGTCGAGTTGTAAATCCATAGTTGACGATTGTTGTTTCTCATTGATATTATTGATATTGTTGTAGTTTTAATGTCAGTTTATGGTGAAATATATTTTGTGTAAAAAGTACTTGTGAAAATGTTTTTAAATTTTTTACTTGCTCATTTATGAGGAGCAGAAATGAAATTTAAAAAGTGTGACATTCGACTTACAGAATCCTCGAGGCATATTTCACAAGCTGGGTGTCTCCCAACCTTCGTCAAGCCCCTCAGGATGGCATATCTACGATTTCCAATCTCCAAAGTCCCGACCTGCACCAAGAACAAAATTTTAACCCCAAAAAATAATTTTCCCCTCTTGGGAATGAAAAACACGTCTCCAAATTTTTTTCAACATGATCATTATCACCTGGGCTTTGTCATTGGGGCTGCTGTACCCCGAGGACTCGGAGCTTCCATCATCCTCGATGACCTGTGTGCACTGGAAGTCCATTTTGCCCCCTTTATCTCATTCTAAGCGACGAACGGAAATTGTCGGTGTCCCCTGAGCCGCCACGAATGCGATAAAACGACCAAAATCCTCTGACAACTCCCACGATCTCAAGACAATTGCTTTTATCTATTTAAAAATATTATTTACAGGCTTTTTTCCTATTTTTCCGACTTTCTGTCGATCAGCCGACGCTCTCTGTTTATTTGTCAACAAAAAATGGCGCCGAGAGCCGAGAAAAGGCGGGAAATCGGAGGGGAGAGTGTGACGGCGGCGCTGCGGTGGTGGCGCTGCTGTTTCCACATAAACATATAGATATTACAGAGAGGAGAAGGGAAAAGAAAATTGAAAACAACGAGGGGAAATGATTTTAAAGATATCACATTATCACAGAGCTGACTCGTCATATGACGGTCATGCGACTGTCATTGAAGAAATAAAGTGAATAATTCATTGAAAAAAATGTACACTATTCATTTACAATTTATTACTGGGTAATTATAAAACTTGGATAAATTTATCACTTGTCCTTAAAATTTATAGCTATTTTTAATCTGACAGCCGTTCTGAAGGCATTACTGAGCTCCTGCTCAGCAGCCAGTGCCACGTGCTTCACCCTGGCCCCCTTGGGCCCCATTACGAGTTTGGAAATCCGGTCCGTGGGACAATTGATGTTGACGATAGCTGACATACTGTCGTCAGGAAGAACTCCCAGGTGCTCTGTCTTGATCTTCAGGATGTAGGGGAGTTCATCAGGTAGTGCATCCATAAATTTGGCTTTTACAGTTCTCTCCACTATTTTCTCTGTCGGTTCGTCTGTTATCTGGTTGGGACTGAAGTCCCAGTCTCTGTTTTTAGCTGAATCTAGGAGGTATGCCTGAAAAAATTAATCAATTAATTACTGACTATACTATAATGATTTTTCATAAACAGTCAATTTTTTCGAAATTCTCGGTTTTTTCCAAAATTTGCAAACAACTTAAATAAATTGAATAAATAAATTAATAAATAAATCTCACTCTTAAATCATCGACTCCATCGTTCTTCAAGGCCGAAATCATGAAAATGTCGGAGAAATTGGGCCAGTTCTGCTCTCCCGTGAGAATGTCGACGAGTTTGAGCAGTTCCTTCTTCGGTTTGACTCTGTCGACTTTGTTGAGGATAAGAATAGAAGTGACGCCAGGTTTCGTGCGTTTTAGGGCCTCGATTACCCTCTCATCGATCTTGTGCCTCCTGAAGGGGTGCGAGGCGTCCTGCACCACTCCCACGACATCCGCCCTTTCAAGGGACGTCTCAATGTCCGACTTGAAGGTCGGCTCGAGCTTGAACTTGTTGAAGTCACGGTTCGTCACGAGTCCTGGGGTGTCGATGAAGATCAACTGGGTGTCGTCCTCCGAGTAGATGACGTTCGTTTTCGATCGAGTGGTGTGAGCTTTTCCGGACATTGCACATATCTGAAAGTGCATGGATGCATCAAAAACAAAAGTCACTGCAGCAGGGTCAGTGACTTGAAAATAATAATGATAATTGTCTCCTTGGAAGAAAAAATTTTGAAAAAATCCTACAATTTTTCTATTATTCAAGACATAATTACTTTCCCCATACCTGTCTCCCAGCGAGCGCATTCACTAGAGTGCTCTTCCCAGCGTTCGGCAGCCCCAGAATCGCGATTCTCAGAGATTTATCCTCATCTCTCCGGAGTCTGGTGACATCGAAGGACTGATCCACAACGTAATCCTCACCCTGCTGGAGCCCCCCCTCACGACTGTGGTTTGACACCACATGTTCCAAATTAACTGAGTAGAACCTCAAGAGTTTTCTCTCCACACTCAGGACCCTTCTGCACAGTGTCACCAACATCTCTCAATTGTTTATATATAATTTTTTTTTCATCAATTCATCAAAACATTTTCCCATTTGAAAATGTCTGGGGGTTATGTTTGCACTTTCAATTATTTCGTGATTGTTTTGAAATTATTCTGGATCATAATGAGTAATTGTCGATTGTTGTTAATAAATCGTTGTTTCACAAATTTTTACGGTTTTTGTACAAAATTTTTCACACGGGATAGATGATGTATCGGAAGATTTATTCAATTTACTGATTTCTGGAGTTTTCCACAGTCGCAGATGGCGCAAGAGACGCCAGGAGAGGGGGGCAAGTTTTCTCCTGATTGGACGATTTAAATAATAAAATTAGTAATTAATTTTACATCATGCGTTGTAAAAAAATGCAAAAAGGGGCCCACACACAATGACAAACAGCTTGTAGATAAAGAATTACATAAACTGACTGGGGTTTCAATAAAATGATTTTTTAAAACAAATCTACCTTGTATTATTTTTTCTTTACAAAATAGGTGATTAAAAAAATAGATAAATGAAACAAATCTCTTGATGAGATAAATTAATAATTGTTATTGAAGGTGGGAAAGACAAAATCGGAGCCCTTGAGATTCCTCAAGATCCAGTCGTCAGCTATGGCTTCTAGTTTCTCATTAAAAGTTTCACTCCAGGTTCCACTCTGTCCATTCCTCACGAAACTCCCAGCGGAAATAATCTTACAGTCTTTCAATTCAGAAGAGTTGACCATTGGATTGTTTTTGAAGTTGTTGATGTGGAGGTAATTGCATAATTTGGATATTTCATCGTTGGAGTAGTTTTTACCCAAAAACTTTGAGACCTTGTGTACGCATTCGTTGAGATCCTGCTGCATCTCCTCGTAGAACATGAAGAGGAGGTTCGGCTGGTGACGGAGGGCCCAGGCCTCCTTCAGGTGCTCCCAGTAAGGACTCCAAGGGGCTGAAAATATTTTTCAATTTTTATTCTGGCTCAATTTCTGTTTTTTTATTTTTTATTTTTTCTTCTTTTACTTAAATTGTCCTCAAAGTAATGCCAGAATTCCTCAAAGGTACCGGTGTAACCTTGAGTCTTTATGGCTCGATTCAGGTGGTACCAGGAGACTGCAACGTCCTTGGGATTCCTCGCCACGTAGATGATCTAGAAATATTTATTATTCGATTTTTGAGTTCATGTGAGGGAAAATGTCTTGAATTAATTCACCTTGCATCCGACATTGACAATTCCTGGCAGTAAACTGAAGGGAAAATGGGACTTTATGAACCTCGGTGAGTCCATGGCGTCCAGTACCTCATACCCAGGCATCCCCAACTTTCTGCACAACTTCTGCTTCTCTGGGTCTGCTTTATTTAATTGTACAAATTCCTCAGTCACTTCTGGATGATTGAACAAGCTAAACCTGTAATTACCCCAGACAAAATGTGAATTTTAAAATATTGCTGCGAGGAATTATTATTGATTCATTAAGATCGATCGATCACGTACTCTAGAAATGGAAATCGTTCGGCTAAATATTTTTTCGATGCTGTCTCAAAATCCAGATTATTAGAAAGCAACCAGACGAGCTCTTGTGTCCAAGTTGTTCCTAAAAGAATCATCATAGATAAATAATCATAATTCATGTATATCGTCCTATTTTCTTGATATACATATATTTCGAGGAATAATTGATATAATTGATTATTGATGTTGCGAGCTATTTCATTGGAAAAATAGTCACATGTGATGACATTTCTGTGAGATATTTTTTAGAGATAGATTTTCTATTGCGCTGTTGGCGAGCAGAAAATTACTTGAATCCCTATCTTAGGGCCCTAAATAAAGAATTGGAATTGTAATTGGAAATGAACGATTATTTTCATTTCATTTCAACGTAATATTTTAAAATCTCCCTGCCCCTGCTGCAAGTTCTCACACCAATTGTGAGATGACGTTAATTATGATAAAATTATGTAGTTGTACCTGATCTAGGGTAACTGACAACCCAAGTGTCACTGGATCTAGCCTTGAACTCGAAAAATCCCTTTCCTTGTTCCACATATCTTGCCGGAAAAAACCACTGTTTATCGCCGACTAGAACCCATCCACTCCTCTCACCACTGAATTTCTGGAGCATCTCCTTGGTCTTCTCCTTGTTCAAAAATTTGTACTTTGGAAGTTCACTCATTATCACAGATGAATAAACAAACAAAAAGATCGAGATTAAATTGAATTAAATTAAATTTTCCTCTCAACTGGAGAATGGGTCAGTGTGTCACTTGAGCGAAAAATTCCAACGTCTGCACAGGCAGAGATTTACATAAGAAGTAACTAGAATTTTTATTTGACATCCGCCTCGGTCAGGAGAGAAAGTTTGTCCCACATTTTCTGCTTATTATAACGATTTTGTTTCCTTCGCTGTTTATTTTTGCTTTTTTATGCTTTCCATTTCTCCCTGGTTCATCTTGATGAATCAACGGATCGAATAATTGGAAATTAATTAAAATATTCTTTCAAGTAGTTGAAATCATTGAGAAAATTACAAAAAATATAAGGAGTGGTCTTAGACGAAAACATCCTGAAAATTCAATTTTGACATTTTCATCTAAAGTCTCACATTTCCGAGATAATTACCTAATGAGCATAAATACCAGATTTTCTTGGTTTTTGTTCAGTTTTTCTAAATTCATTTCATCTTGTGAGAATAATTTTTCAGGTACAGGGGGAAATTATAAATATACATCAACAGCTGCTGAAATAAAAATACTATTTATTCAATACCGAATGCCAATAGTTAATTAAATAGGAACTTGTCAGGATCATTCAGTCAGTCTTAAATAGACCCTACGACTCCACAAATGTCATGGATTAGTCATTAATTACATGTCGATAGGTGACTTAAGTCTATCAAAAATCTTCGTATCAAAATAATAATATCGAATTAAGGCACTGTTGGAAGATGATCCCTTGGTTTCAACGTTACTCTTATCAACTATTAAAAAAATGGAGAAATTTACAGTTGAAGAAATTTCAGATGGAAAATTTATCAAAAACTCCATTCCTTAGAAAAAAAAAAAAAAAAAAAAACTCGAAAAAAGTTCTTATCCAAAAATTCATTTTTCTCGCAATTTCAAAAAATTCATAATTCTAAAAGTATTTGTTTTCTTCATCATCAGAATCTTCTCTGATTACCCCACCCCCCAATCTAGATAAATGGAAAAAAATGGAGCAAAATGGGCCGGTCCGAATTTTCCATCATTTCAAATGTTGAAAACTCTGAAATTCCATCTAAAAGCATTCAAGGCCGATAACACTCTCCGTAATGTTGACTCCCCCCTCATTATTAAGCCTGCACTCCTCCCCCTTTCCGGCAGTGATAGGAATGACCATAACCTGTCCAATGCTGAAGGTTTCCTCTCTCCGTGTGGGCTCATCATCCTCATCAACATTCATATGATCCTTGAGCCTTTTGATCCTGGTATTCAAGACTTGCTGTAAATGAGGATTGGCCTTGAACATTCCGCAGCGTTTCGTGTGAATCTTCATGTTATCATGTCGATTGAAAGCCCTCTGGCAGCCAGGGCACTTGAACCGTTTCTCACTGTGAACTGCCATGTGTGCAGCCAGATGGCTCTGCTGGGCAAAATCCTTGTCACAAACATCGCACTTGTACTTTCGGATGCCCTCGTGTTTGAGCAGATGCTCCTTGAGTATGTGCCCGCTCTTGTAGACATTTGGACACAAGTTGCACTTAAACTTGGCCTCGGAGTGGACATTCTGATGATTATGAAGAGCTTTTCGACTCTTGGTCGCCTTTCCGCAGATATCGCAGACGTAGTCCCTCGAGTGGACGTTGTCAAGGTGCTTCTGCAGGGTGTCAGCCGAGCTGAAATGGTGTGAGCAGTACTTGCACATGAGCTCGCGATTTTTGTTGTGAGTGATCATGTGCGCACGCATGCGGCCCTTGGAGAAGAATTCCTTTCCGCAAATCTCGCAGGTGACGTCCTTAACGGGTTTGTGAGTGGTCATGTGGTAGCTCAGAACCTGTCTTGAGGCGCTCGAGAAGGAGCAGACGGTGCACTTGAAGGGTCTCAGGCCGCTGTGAGTGTTGAGGTGTTCCTCGAGAAGAACCGCCGTGACATAGCGCTTCTTGCAGAAATTGCACTCGAAGGGCTTGATCTTGAGGTGGCTCTTCCTTATGTGACACCTGATGTTGGTGACTGTCACTGTGGAGAAGTCGCACGCTGTACACTTGTACGGTTTCATGTCAAGGTGTCCCCAGACGTGAACCCGACACTTGTCGATCCTGGGGTAGACCGCGCTGCAGATTACGCACATCGTCTGCTTCTTGTCGAGATGGTTGAGTTTCTTCTCTACCGCGGAATCGTTCACCACGGACATGTCGATTGTGTAGAACTTCTCGATGGCTTCTTTCTCCTCCAAAGAAATCAGCTGGGAAATTGTGCCGTAGATGGCGCCTGACTTCCTGCGTTTTGAGGAGGAGGAGGTCGAGGTGAGAACTGAAGAGGATGAGGACTCTGAGGAAGACCTACGACGACGATGACGACGGAATTCTGACGAGTTGGATGATGACTCTGAGTTTCTCCAGTTATTATGAGTGGCTTTCGAGGGCTGGGATGATGAGGAGCGTGAGCCGTTCTTAGGGAGACACTCCTCTCCAACCGGTCTAGATGGTCCAGATGACGATGTGCAGTCACTTGTTTTTCCGAGTTTCTGAGCCTCTGGGATAGTCTTGTGGAGATGAGGTGAGTCAGTTTTTGATGAATCTGATGGTTCCTTTGGTTGTGATATGGGGGTTTTCTTGAGCAATTCTTCATTTTGCTGTTCCGGTAGTTGGGAAACTTTTAGAGGTGCTTCTAGAGTTTGCTGGGCAGCTTCTTTTACCGATTCTTCAACTTTAGCTTCGATTTCCTCGAGTTTTTTGCAAGTTTCGTCGACTTGTGGAGATTTCTCTCGAGTTTTGACAGTTTTTAGAGTTTCAATGATTACTAAAGACGACGTATCAGGGTCCCGAATGAATTTTTGAAGAGATCGACGGATTTCTACCGGCTTCGGCGGTATTACTGACTCCTCTACTACTTTTGGTGGATCTGACGATATCTCGAGGTTTTTTTCAAGACCTTGCGCGAATTTGGGGAAAGGCTTCCTCCTCAGAGGGTTCTGAGCACCTTTCATTTCGGATTTAGGAGTCAGGGAGCTCAGGGCCTCGGTCAAGGTTGTAACCGAGCGGATTTTCGGAAGTCGCCTCTGCGAGTTTCCGGTTTTTTGTTTTTTCGTGTGCGGAATCTCCGAGAGGACGTTCTCGCAGATTTCTGGAGTGGATTGGAGCGATTCGGCCAGTGGCGGGATGTTCTCAAGGTCTTGACAAGGGGGAGATGGTTGTACCGGTGTTTTTGACTTGCGCGGAGCCGGCGGTGAGAGGGACTTATGTTTAGAGGAAATAACATTTTCTTTGTTGAATTCTTCCTCGATTTGTTGGGGTGAGGGGTTAGCGTCTTCCTGGAATCAAAACACAAATCTCCCTTGATATTTTCTCCCCAACTTGCCATCTGTGAGGACGTGAAAGAATCTTGTTATCCTTACCTTTTCCGCGAGTTTCTGCTGCGTCTCCTGGCACTGCTCGGCGAAATCACAGAGAAACTCCAGCGTCCCCACACACCTGATGCAAACAGTCTTCGGCAGCTCATCATTCTCATTGATCTACAATTCACCATTATAAAAAAACAACACAAATCCTCAGAAAACCCATCAATCGGATACTACCCCTAGACAGCTGCTGACGGAGAGAATGACCTGTTGACCCTCCTCTTGCAAAGTATGATCAGGAGCCAGAAAGAACCAAAAATGCTCAAGATACTCGAAAAATATTAACTTTATTAACGTAAATAAATGGAATTGCTAAATGAGCATATGATAGAAAATCCTACGATCTAAATCTTACCAATTAATCATTATACAGATATACTAATCTTATTGTACAATGGTACATAATTATTGTATTACAATGAGTGTAAATAATCCTTACAACATTCTTCGTCAGTCTCAGGACTCAAACGGAGTCGCGGAAAAGAACTTTTCATTATTTATTTGAATTGTTTCTTCACATCGTGAAAGGCACTATTATTAACCCTCATTATCACTCAAATTTTACGAGTAAAAAATATCGTTATCAAAGTGGAACTTGTCATTTCTTATATT